GGCTCCAGAAAGTCACAGAGAAGCTGATAAATGGATTTATGGTCGGGTTAACGTCCAGATGAGAGAGGAACCGTCCTTCTATGGTAACAGGATGATCTGCTCTCTACTGCCACCTGCTGATTTACAGCTTAAAGTTCTGACCGGGTTTTTCTTCCTCATTCAGGCTGAAACTGATGTTTCAGGCGTGGAAACGATACTCGGTGGGAACGTGGAAGAACTGGGTGGAGGAACTGAGATGAACGCCGTTCCGGGTTTTTCTTACCTTGATGCTGTCCACCTACAGAGATGAGCGTTCTCATTGGCGGCGAGGGACAGCGCTGAGCCACGGCCCTCCTGTAGGAGCAGAGGAGGCAGGGGTCAGAGGAGGCTTCCTGATCGGAGCAGAGACTCTGAACTGACTCCCGTACAGAAACTGGCCTCCCTGGGAGAAGCCCATGGCGTTATATCCTCCCTGCAGCCGGGGGTCCTGAGCCAGCTGGCTGCACGCCATCGACACCTGAGCGTTCACGTCCAGGAAGAAGCTGTTCTCCATGTCCTGCAGGAGGACACAGGAGGACACTTAGAGGTTCTGACCCATTAACTGGAAACCAGAGGAACCAGAACCGGGTCAGATAGAGCACTGCTGAGCTCCAGTTACCCACTGGAACCAAACCAGTAAGACCGCTGCATGTGGGTAGCTTCTGGAAGTCGTCTCTGAACATCTGCTCACCTCCATCACGTTCTTCCCGATCATCAGGGAGAGAACATAGATCCCTGGGATCTCCTCCTCCACCATCTTCTTGATGCTGCCCATGCTGAGCGGGTTGCAGCAGCTGTCGCCTGAAGGAGAACCAGGAGGAGAACATCACAACCAGGAGGAGAACGTCACAACCAGGAGGAGAACGTCACAACCAGGAGGAGAACGTCACAACCAGGAGGAGAACGTCACAACCAGAAGGAGAACGTCACAACCAGGAGGAGAACGTCACAACCAGAAGAACGTTTCATCAACTGTTTTCTTTCTCCTACAAACTATTCAAAAAACTTAAGAGTCCAAAAAAAACCCATAAACAATCAGGCAGGAGATGAGATGATCATTAAAGGTGGAGGATGTTCTATTTCCAGGTGGATCATCTCAATCAGTGGTCCTCCTAACTGTCAATCATTCTGGTGAAATGTTTCCGTAAGCCCGTCCTCCGTGCTCGTCCCCATTTTCACTGACCGCTGGTGAGTCTGACATGGTGGAAAAATAGAAAATCTGCTTTTGGAAACTAAGCTAGTATGAGCGATGCTACCAGCAACGATTAAAGAGAGCGTGCACCTGGAGAAATGTCCTCGTGCACCTGGAGAAATGTCCTCGTGCACCAGGAGAAATGTCCTCGTGCCGCTCTCACACGCCTTTAACAGGCGTTCCCTCTGGGAGCGTGCACCGGGCTGTGCATTATTTCTTTTAAAGTAGAGTAGGCTGTGTTTTTAAAAATCCTCCCCTATACCTTTAGTGAATCAGGGAATGTTTGCTGCATGGCAGTAAAACTCTGAGCTCCTCAGAAGCTCCTCAGACCAACACTGTTCTGACGTTAATCACTCACCCATCCCGTGCCACAGGACCAGAGGGACCGTCCCATTGCTGGGGTCCCTAACGGGGCCAGAGGCCACCAGCAGCACCGGAGCGGCCAGGAGGAAAGAGACGAAGACAGCAGCCATCCTGAAACTGAGAAGCAATAAAAGGCGACTTCAGGCCTCGGTCCACAACGTAGGATCCATGTCTGTCTGCAGAACCTCAGAGAACCTCAGAGAGGAACAGAGAACCTGCTGAACCTCAGCCTCTTTACCCAAACACTCATCCTCAGGTTACCCTGAAGATCTGGATTAGGTTCTGTTCATGTCATCATCATCATCATCATCATCATCATCATCATCATCATCATCATCATCATCATCATCATCATCATCATCATCATCATCATCATCATCATCATCATCATCATCATCAGGAAGCTCCTGGCTCCTTCTCACCATCTTTAAAAATGGCCTGAGACCCAGTTTGCCTTTTTTACACCTCTGATCTGTTACCATGGTAACAACAATAATAATAACAACGAGGCTAATTATTGGAGCAACGATTCTAGATGAATGTGATCTTATGGAAATATAAAGGTGAGTTAGACGCTCAGAAATATAGAAATCATGTGAACAGATTATTCAGAGCCATAAAGAAAAGCAGATATTTTATAGTTTATAATAGAGTCATGAGGAGCAGCACGTGATGATGATGATGATGATGGTGATGATGATGATGGTGGTGATGATGATGATGGTGGTTCTAACCTCTGCTGCAGTTTTAAAGTCAATAATAATCTTTCCAGGTAAATAAAGGAAACTGTTGAACTTCCTGCTCTGTAGTTCGGCCTTCATATCTAATCAGTTTGTGGTTTCTGGCCGTGATTCCATCATTAAAGGACTCAGGCGGCCCACAGCATGACTGATAAGGCTTCGCTTTGTTTGCTGAGCTTTTAAGGCTGATTGTTAAAGAATGAGCCGAACAGATCAAAGGATCTTGGTTCCGATCGAGTTTAAATCATTTAAAATATCTTTAAAATCACGTTTTTTAGGAAGAATGAACCTTAAATCTTTAATCTGTTATAAAACCAGAAAACGATCAACTCACCGCCTGATCCTACTTCCTGTTTGAGTTCTGTCACGTGACCATTCTGTTTGGGGGACAACAGCCAATCAGAGCGCAGCTGGAGCTAAGCTAGCCTGCTATTTAACACCCGAACCTTCTAAAGATGTTCTGATTCGGTTTGAAGATCCAAACGACAGACCGGTTCCGGTCGGTTGGGTTCGGACCAGGACCAGGACCAGGACCAGAACCAGAACCAGGAGCTGCGGTTCTGAGCGGCTCCAGGATGAACATCCAGTTCGAAGAAGCGACCCTGAGCAGCAGCTACAGCCTGCTGGGCTCCGGCTTCGGTTCGGAGGAACTGGACCAGGACCTGGACCCGGAGGACAGCAGCCCGTCCAGCAGCAGACCCAGAATCCTGCTGATGGGTCTGAGGAGGAGCGGGAAGTCCTCCATCCAGAAGGTACTGTGGTTCTGATCCAGCAGCTGGTTCTGACCCGGTCTGCGGTTCTTTGGTTTCCCTCCTACCGGTGGTTCCGAAACGATGATGTCCAGAACTCAGCAGAACCGGTCAGAAGCAGAGGAGCAAAGAGAAAGAAGCAGAACTTCAGAAAACCCAAATGAACTTCTGATCAAACCTTTTTCATCATTCTGCTTCATCTATCTCTATAGTTCTGCTGCTATAGGCTTAGACTGCTGGAGGACATAGGGACCCCTTTTTCATCATTCTGCTCCTATCTCTATTCTCCCACTCTGCAGAATCTGTTAGTTCAATCTCTAACGTTCTGCTCTCTCTGCTTTTTCTCATAGTAGCTTCATCTGGTCTGTTCCTGTTTGGCTGTGACTCCATCCTGGAGAGAAATATCAGCTGTGCTGCTGCCATCAACACCTTTGTTTCTAGATGTTGGAGCTTGGCCTGTTTTCCAGTGTAGTCCTGTTTCTCTGACTGTGACTAACTGGATGTGCTCTCTTCATCCTCTGACATGGGAGCTGGCTCGGAGCTCGTCTGCCTGGCTGTGTGTTTCCTGGACGGGGCCGCCTGTGGAGCTGGTTGACAGTTGCCTTTTGTATCTATGCTTTTTTTTCTATGTCTGCTTCTGTCTCCTTGAACCCCAGTGGGCCTCAGCAGATGGCCGCTCACACTGAGCCTGGTTCTGCTGGAGGTTTCTTCCTGTTCAAAGGGAGTTTTTCCTCTCCACTGTCGCTACAAGCATGCTTAGTGTGAGGGATTGCTGAAGAGTCAATGAGTCGATGCAATCAGCTGGTTTTCCTTAGATAGAAAACTTTGAATCAATCTGACTGGATGATCTGGTTGATCTGGATCTATAAAGTGACCTGAGATGACATGATGGGAATTGGAGCTATAGAAATAAACTGAATAGAATTGAACCACAGATCCCAGGACTGGATCCAGAAGTTCTGGTTCTCAGTAGAACTTCTGTTTGGGTTCGGGCTTCAGCCGATCATGGGGGGAGGGGCGACCTAGTGGTTAGAGCATAGAGCTTGGAATCCAGAAGTTCTGAGTTGGAGCTCCACTCCCACAGACTGCCCCTCTGTGTCCCTGAGCAAGACCCTTAACCCCCCCCCCCCGCCCACTGGGGTTAAATGCAGAGAGAATTTCTCTATCCTGATGAATAAATTATGAAAACCTGAATGTGGTCCAGATGGAGGTGGAACCGGTTCTTCTGGACCTTCTTCCTGACGGGTCGGATCCTCCACAGGTGAGCAGAACCAGGTGAACCCTTGGAACCGGGTTTCTCCTGCAGAGACTCGGACCGCCTGGTTCTGCTGTTGGGAACGTTAAGCTGGATGTGAGTCCGTTAGCGCTCAGGTCCAGAACCAGGCCTGAAGTTCTGCTGTGTCTCCATCCAGGTGGTCTTCCACAAAATGTCTCCTAATGAGACTCTGTTCCTGGAGAGCACCAACAAGATCTACAAGGACGACATCTCCAGCAGCTCCTTCGTTAACTTCCAGATCTGGGATTTCCCGGGCCAGGTGGACTTCTTCGACCCGACCTTTGACAGCGAGATGATCTTCAAAGGAACCGGAGCTCTGATCTTCGTCATCGACGCTCAGGTAGGAGGACGTCTCAGGTGGTTCCTGGTTCCTGGGTTCTCCTTATGCCGTCCTGCTGTCTGTCCTCCTGCAGGACGACTACATGGAGGCTCTGGGCCGGCTGCACCTCACCGTCTCCAGGGCCTACAAGGTCAACCCTCACATCAACTTCGAGGTCTTCATCCATAAGGTGGACGGTCTGTCCGACGAACACAAGATCGAGACGCAGAGAGACGTCCACCAGCGGGCCAACGACGACCTGGCCGACGCCGGCCTGGAGAAGCTGCACCTCAGGTGAGACCTGGACACCAGCAGGTGAGACCTGGACACCAGCAGGTGAGACCTGGACACCAGCAGGTGAGACCTGGACACCAGCAGGTGAGACCTGGACACCAGCAGCCGAGTCAGATGGAACCAGGTCCATTAACTCGGTTCCTGCTTCTGATGCGTCTCAGGTTCTGGTCCAGGAGGAACCTCAGGAACCTCAGGTCCAGGAGGGACCTCAGGAACCTGAGGTCCAGGAGGAACCTCTGGTCCTGGAGGAACCTCTGGTCCAGGAGGAACCTCTGGTCCTGGAGGAACCTCTGGTCCTGGAGGAACCTCTGGTCCTGGAGGAACCTCAGGTCCTGGAGGAACCTCAGGTCCAGGAGGAACCTCAGGTCAGCGGTTCTGGCTGAGGTTCCCTCTGGAGATGAGAGCTAAACATCTACGGGTCACAAAGAGCAGAACCTCCAGCGGTTCTCCACCTCAGGCTGAGGGAACCCGACTAGAACCTCCCCCTTCCTTCTGTGACTCCTGCTGTGATCTTCTGCCCTCAGCTTCTACCTGACCAGCATCTATGATCACTCCATCTTCGAGGCCTTCAGCAAAGTGGTGCAGAAGCTCATCCCCCAGCTGCCCGTGTTGGAGAACCTCCTGAACATCTTCATATCGGTAGGAATCAGAGCCTCCTGCTCCTCCTTCAGCAGGTCCGGTTCCTCCCTAACATCTGATCTCCTCCGCTCCTCAGCACTCGGGGATCGAGAAGGCCTTCCTGTTCGACGTGGTCAGTAAGATCTACATCGCCACCGACAGCTCTCCGGTGGACATGCAGTCCTACGAGCTCTGCTGCGACATGATCGACGTGGTCGTCGACGTCTCCTGCATCTACGGGTGAGAAGACCCGGAGCCGGTCCCACCCGGCCGGTTCTGGGCCGGTTCTGGGACGGTCCCACCCGGCCGGTTCTGGGCCGGTTCTGGGCCGGTTCTGTGACGGTTCTGTGACGGTTCTGTTGCTCCTCCAGGCTGATGGAGGACGGCGGCGGCTGCGCCTACGACAGCGAGTCTTTGGCCATCATCAAGCTGAACAACACCACGGTTCTCTACCTGAAGGAGGTCACCAGGTTCCTGGCTCTGGTCTGCATCCTCAGGGAGGAGAGCTTCGAGAGGAAAGGTGCTGCCAGGTTCTGACCTCAGGTCCCGGTCCTGAAGTAGATCTGCAAAACTAGATTCTGACTTCAGACACCCTTCCTTCCTTCCTTCCTTCCTTCCTTGCCTGCTTCCTTGTTTCCTTCCTTGCCTGCTTCCTTGTTTCCTTCCTTCCTTCCTTCCTTCCTTCCTTCCTTCCTTCCTTCCTTCCTTCCTTCCTTCCTTCCTTCCTTC